CGCAGGCGGACGAGATCCTGCCGCAGCTCGACCCGTCGGTGCCGCTCGACTCGCTCGTTTCGGACTGGAGCCCGTACGCGGACCTCGAGCAGAGCGAAGGCCCGTCGCTCGAGCTGAGGCCGAGGGCGGGCCTGTAGAGCGCGCGGACTCCCCAGAGCACACCGAGCGACGCGCGTCACGCGGCCTGTGCGTCACGAATCAGGGAGCAGGCGATGAAAAGCGCACTGCGCTCCTTTTTTGTGTCTCTGTTTTATCTGTCCCTCCGGGGACCCTGCCGAGCGCGCCGAGAGGCCCCGTCTCCAGAGGTCGCTCGGCCCCTCGCCCACCGCCAAAATGCAAAAACGCGTTCGGCCCGCGGAGGGCCGGGTGCGCAGGTAGAGGTAGGGCTGGCGTGTGGGGCCTCAGGTAAAGGTAACCTGTCTCAGACCGCCGGATGTAGAGGTAAACGGAAACCACGTGAGGCCAGGTAAACGTACGACCGTGGCCCCGCGAGGGCTCGAGGTGGGGCCACGACGCAAGGCCCCGCGAGAGCGCTTCGCCTGCGGCGCGCCTGCCCGGCCATGGACCAGGCTTCACCGCCGCTTGCTGACGGCTGATCGCATCGCCTACCGCATCGCGAATGACCAGTGCCGCGACCACTTGGACCTTGCACTGCCTGCCTGCTGACCCGGTGCAAAGAATCTGCGTCTCAGCTCTTCGGCGCATTGATTGTGCATGATTGCTCAAAAGGGGCTCGAATTGGCAATCCACCGCAATGAAAGGAAACTCTCTCTCCGCAATGCGAACATGAATGGAGAGCACATGCAACACGGACGCAGGCTTGCCGTTGGCGACGTCGGTTATCAGAGGGGTCAGGTCATAGTGACGCGCTCGATGGGATGCTGCATTGACGCAGACAGCAAAAGCATCGCAGCGGAGACCTTCTCATGAGTGGCGGCTCGCACCATGCGGCAGTGCGGACACCAGGTGCGCGAATTTAAGAGCCATTTTTGATTCCGTGGTTTTGGCACTGTCTACCAACTTTGGTACAAATCGACTTGGTCTGGGCACAGCTGAGCCCGGCGCTGCCTCCATTCTGAAAGTGTAGAAGGGGGGTGGCAGCATGTCAGGCTGCGAACTCTGCTGTGCGCCGAAAAGCGGTATGGCGCCGAGGAGGCCATTTTCCTATTAGAAAAGGCTGTCGACATCCAAAATTTTCCTCGCTGCGCGCCCAATCATGGTGCCATGGTGGGCACGCAGCGCGCGGGGCGCCTGTGGCGCCCATTTTTTGAAATGTCTGCCACTCACCTAAGTGGCTCTCAGAAAACACTCGTGCGGCTGCGCATTTTATTTTCTTCTCGGCGAGTGAAAATCGCAGATTATGTTGTATCGAGATCGCAATATCTCGAGATGAGATCACTCGAGAGATCACTGTTCACTCGCCTCTCGCGCGAGCGGAGATCCTCGAGGCGAGATCACGCACAGGTAAATCACGGCTACGTTGCTCAGAGGTAGAGGTAAAGGGCCCACGGCTGCCCAGAGGTAAAGGTAAGAGGGCCGCAGGCCCTCAGAGGTAGAGGTAACCTAGACCCCTCCTACCCGGCCCTCCGGGCCGAACGCGTTTTTGTATATAGACCCCGCAATCTGCTCTCTTGCGGGGCGGACGCTTTGTCGCGCGTTGCTGCTTGCTCTGGCCTCTGGGTCTGGCGGCGCGCGGCCCCCGCCCCCCCCCCCCCTTCCGCCCGCGCTGCGCTCACAGAGCCCCTCTGCCGCGCGCCTCGCTGGCCCCCGTGCGTTTTACACACACCAACGGCGCTGCTCGGCGCACACTCCTTTATATCTCCTTGGGCGCACAGCTGCACACACACAGATCACGGATCGGTGGCTTTGATCATATGTGTCTGAATCACGTCTCGGCATGGTTGGAGGTGCACATGCGTATTCCACAAATAAAATATGTGACACACACAGCGCACCCTGATATCTCATACTCCACACACTCTGAGGGCGCCGCGCTCCAGCGTCACAATGCCCGGCGGCCCGTCCCCCCGTCAGATCAGCGTCAGATCCCGTCCCCGCGCACTCTCCACAAGGACTTTTACCGCACAACTCAATCGTACAAGTACTCGGAGACGCATTCTGCCAGCAGCTCTGATGGTCACCTCGGTCCAGCTCACGCAATGTCCAATAGCGACTTTGGTACGTAAGAGGCACCGATGGAGACCAGCTGCGCATAGTCAGAGCGCTTCAGGCAGCGAATGCGAAGGTGGATCGGCTCAGCGGCTCCAGCACGCCGAATCGTGCAGCGCAGCTCGTATCGTTCCGCACTCACTGATCTGCAGTCCAGCATCGAGCCCTCGGCAAAGCCCGACACGTCTATGTGGTCGCCATCTCTGTGGAGTGTGCAGGGCCGGTAGAAGAGGCCAGTCGACGTCTTTGCAAACACTCTGATGTAGAGCCAGCGAGGTGGTCGCAGCGTGGCTGTCGGCACGGACGCAGGCAGGGGCACTGCGAAAGGGATCCCATCAATCGACCTGCTCAGCCGAACGACGGTGGCCTCCTGCAAGTCCACGTGACCAAGGAGTGGCTCCAGCGCAACGACGGTGGCCTCTTGCACGTCCACGTGGCTGCAGCCCAGAGACATGCTTTCGTCGGGGTGCACGATGGCGAGCGTCGCCATTGCTGGACGACGGTCTCTTGAGGCTCGGGAGTCAGCGAGCCGCCAAAGGACTGAAAGTCGGGTCCTTGTGCTTCAGCTGGGATTGAATTCTTTTTCTCTCGGAAAAAACCTTATCATTTTGTCACACGGGTTGAGGGACAACGAAATTCGTAGCAGTGCTGCTTTGTTGGAACTAGACGGACGGGGAGTGAGTATATATACAGTCGTGCTGCCCTGACGCCCCCCCACACCAAATCGACAACAATCTATCTCTCTCCCAAAACGGGTTTTGCCCTTAATTAAATAGTGCGATTTCCCACCGAGGTCAAGCGAGAAATCGTTCACAAAAATCGCACTATTCTCGACGCGCGTCGAGATCCAAAACTCGACGCGGCCAACTCCAAGCCCAAATCTGGCCAGAGCCCCATTCCTACCAACCGTCGGCTTCGCCGCTTCCGTTTCCTTGAGCACCCTCCCGTGGCTCCGAGGTCGGCCTTTCAGGATGCCACGTGCGCCGACCGTCAGCGCCACGCGCGGGAGCATGTGTCCAATGTGCAACCGCGGCGGCGCGACAGTCACGGGACGACCGATGAAGCCAAACAAGCCACAAAACTCGCTCTTGCAGAGCAGGTTTTCAGCAGATTTTCCAATACCAAACAACTCTAACACTCACACGTAATTTGGGGCCTGGAGCCCTGTTCACGCGCGCGCGAGACGTGCAGACAGGGTTGCCAGGTGAGAGCGAATGGCGCGGTTCACGCCTCGCACAACAGAGAGAGAGATGCTTTTCACCGATTTGCTGTGGGCGTTGGCTGAAAATAGTGCTCAAACCGACCAAGTTAAGGTTGCTCCCGGCCCAGCGGGGATTTTGGCCTACTCAGTGATCGTCTAAAGTGCCCTAATGGCCTGCAATGCCATATCTTTTGTGCCTAGGTTGTAGAGCACCATAAAAAACTACTATGTCTTGGAGTGAAAAGTTTTTCGATGAGGTGGGGGTCAGTGGTGAGCAGATTCCCAGATTCTCCAGATTCCCCCTCGAAAACCTCCCCTTTTAATTCATTGCGGCCGCGGGTTTGCTCGGATTACTTTTCACTCGAAGACAGAGTAGTTTTTTGGTGTTCCGGTGCCTACAAAAAATATCCGAGATCATATGGAGCTGACCACAGGGTTTGCGGCGATCACTGTCCTACCAGCGGGCACAGTGGGCCGGGGACACCCGTGAATGACCTTAAGCGAAAATCGGCCAAACGAAAACAGCAACTATTTAAGGGCAAAAATCGATTTGCTGTGTGGGGCGTGACACTCAAGACACACAAGAAGAGACTCCAAAGATTTGCTAAAGTGCGCCAGAGATAGAAGATAGAACATTTTGAAATACGGCTCTTTTCCTTTAACAATAGACTCGATCTCTCAAAAGACAGCTCACGCGGAGGGCTGTGGTGCGCTCTTCTTTCTCCCAAGGTCCAGGAAGGAGCGCCTCCCTCGGCCCTCCTGTTTGCAGCGGGGCTGTCTCGCATGGCGCCGGCGAGGACCATCGCGATCAGGACATCGGGCGGAAAAGAGCGGCGAGCCGCAGTTCCGAGTTCGTAGCGGGCAGAGGCGAGCTCCGAGCATTTCGCGCCGCGAGGGCAGAAAAAGATGATAAAGAAAAAACCGGAGCTGGCGAGCTCCAATGAGCAATGTCCAAACAAAAGAGAAAAACAAGTCATAGTAAAAAAACCTGCTACACCTGGAACCTGTGCAAGTGTGCAACCTGGGGCCGCAGCCTGGCTGGCGCGCCGAGCTCCCCCTCCCGCGCGTGGAACGCCGCCCGACGCGCGACGGCCGACGCCCATACATGGAAATCTCTGCGCTACATCGGAAGATCCTTGGACTGTAGATCGTAGATGCCTTTTAGAGATCTCTTAAGTGGCAAATCTCCTGCCAAGAGCAGCAGTAGATTGAAGAACTGGTGCAGGCAAATCTTCTCCGGTGTAGATGCTCGAGAGGAGTCTGAGATCTCGAGTTGGTGCGTGCAGTCGCTTGAGATCTTGCGACAGAGGTGGAGATTCTGACTTCGCGCCAAAGGCGCCTAGAGATCGTGTGGGCCGACTGGAGATTGCAAAATGGCGCGAAAAGAGGGTGGAGATCCTTTTGCATTGTGAATGAATCCATAGCGCATCTCCTTGAAGGTTTGAGCCCCCCTCCTCCCCCGGGCCCCCGAATCGAGATTGGAGATTGGAGATTGGAGATTGAGATCGGAGATCTGACTGAATCCGGCCTAAGATGACGACGTTGGAGATTGGAGATTGAAGATGGAGATCGGAGATCTGACTGGATCCGGCCTAAGATGTAGCGACGCTGGAGATTGGAGAGTACTGGAGAGATGGAGATCGGAGCCCCCCAGCCCCTAGTGGTGTCTCATCGTTTTTTTCGTTTTGTTTTTAGATAAAGGTCTGTGCGCGGACGGCCCGGGGAGCCTGCGCGAAGCGCGCTGCGCGGCGCGCGCGGTCTACGCCGAACTGGGGGCGGTATCATGGTTCACGCTGCCAACTCGGCAAATAGGCTCGCCGACATAGACCGCGTACATAGACCGCGCGCGCAGCGCGCTCCGTTTGCAGACCGCCCTGGCGGACTCGTTTACACTTCCAAGCTCAAGCCAGGCGCCGCAGGCCATAAAGAGGAGCGCAGATTAAAATGGCGCCGCAGGCTCCCCGGGCCGTCCGCGCACAGACCACAGGAAAAAACAAAAATCTATAAAACATCTATCAACACCACTAGGGGGTGGGTGGGCTCCGATCTCCCCATCTCCAATACTCTCTAATCCACAGCGTCGTCATCTTGGGCCGGGGATCCAGTCAGATCTCCGATCTCCATCTTCAATCTCCAATCTCCCAACGTCGTCATCTTAGGCCGGATTCAGTCAGATCTCCGATCTCCATCTCCAATCTCCAATCTCCAATCTCGATTCGGGGGCCCGGGGGAGGAGGGGGGCTCAAACCTTCAAGGAGATGCAATTTGGATTCATTCACACTGACCATCTCTCGTCTCCGATCTCCAATCTTCTACTTGGCCACTGTCGCCGCCGGCAGCAATCTACGACCTCCATTTTTAATCTTCGATCTCACATCTGGGGCGGATGGCTGGGCGCTAGGATCTAGCATCTACAATCTGCATTCTCCATCTCCTATCTCCCACATTTTGGCCCAGTGTTGCTGCTCAGCGATCTGCAATCCACAATCTCAATCTTCGTTCTTTAGTCTTGAATGGGGAACCGGACAGGAGGGATCTACTGGCGAGACTTGGGCGTGTCCGTGTGAGAGATCCGCTAGGATCTCCAGTCTTAATCTTCACTGTCTCTACTAGTAAACTCTACCCCCGAGATCTCTACTGCTGTTCCCTTGCGCAGAGATTTCCATTACTCCCGACGCCCTCTCTTTTACATATTACATACATACATACATACATACATACATACATACATACTCGTGTCCAATATTCCTCCGCCTCCGCCCCTCGGGCCCTCTCTTCTCGCTTCTGCCTTTCGAGCATGTGTGCGCGGCACCACACGGGCAGGCTCCCAGATCGACAGACGACAACCCACGACCATGCCCACGACCCACAGTTATTATGCGCCCCAACTCCCATGCCATGCCCACGGCCCGTGCCGCCCCTAGAGCCGTACAGCGGTCTATGTGCCACACCACCCGCACGACCACGCCACGGACGAGTAGTTCGAGCCTGATGAGGAGAACTATTGCTCCTCCCGGCTAGCCGTCCACCCGACGGCACAGTCCCAGCCATCCACATAATGTGGGCATGCGCACAGGCCACGCCAAGGCGGCAGTAGGTACAGAGGAGATGGCGATGCCAGTACACGAGCGCGGCTCACACCTGCCAGGCTAGGATGGTGAGCGCTTTTGCGGGACGTGGTTTTTGAGGAAGGACTGGACGCGCCGCAGCAGCCTCGGCTGTGGCGTGGGCTGAACGGTGGGCGGCTCGGGGCGGAGTGGTCCCGCCCCGGCGAGGTCCGCATACTGCACCACAAAGGCAAGCAGCAGGAGCAGCAGCCCGACGACCACCACTCGAGAGCCCTTGGGCCCGACCGGCGCTGGCGCCGCCGCCTCCGCCGCCGCCGACGGCTTGGGCTCGATGTCGGCTGCCGTCGCGCGCGCGCGCCTGCCTGGCGAGTCGCGCAGACGCGACGACGGGGGCGCGGCCGCTGCGAGCGCCGCGGTGACGTCCTTTGAGGGCGAGTCCGACCCCAGCCGCCGTTTGGCGGGCGAAGCCTTGGCGCGAGTCGGGGAGGCGCGCGGAGGCTTTCGCGGCGACGGCGACGGCCTGCGCCGCGTGGGAGATCGCGTCGGCCGCTGCGGGGGAGAGGCGACCATCAAGGAGGTCGTTCAAGTCGTCGTCGGTAGAGCTATGCTCGGGGCACTGATCGGCGGGCAAGAAGAAAAGAATTCCTACCTATTCGCTGCTTTTGCTACTAACACGCAAGTCCTGCTGGCGCGCGGTGGACATGACTGCGGCCGCCCCAGAGGCCCTCTCCAGGGGCTACTCGCTCGGCGCCGCGGGCGGCGCCGGCGCGTGCGCGCCGCTGTCGGGCTGCGCGGCGGCCACGTGCGTCGCGGCGTCGCAGCCGCTCTCGTACTGGAGCGGGCCGCTCAACCTGTCGGCCGCCCGGCGCGGCCAGCTCTTTGCGGGCAGGCGTGGCGGCCGCAGGATGCGCGGCGGCCGCCGTCTCGAAGCGGACGGCGACGCGACGGTCGGGCGGCAGCTGGCGGCGCCGGGCAAATGCGCGCGCGGGAGCCCCGACTGGAAGCCGGTCGGCTTTGTGCATGTCAACAAGGCGGGCGGCACGGCGATGATTGCCATCCTCGGCAAGCACAGCCGGCCGCAGATGCTGCAGTTCACGTCGCCGCAGGCGCTGGCGAAGCTGCGCTCGATCCGGTCGCGCTTCTTCCACGCCTCTGCCGCGCTCCAGCAGTGGGCCGTCGGCGAGGCGGCCTGGCGCGACGCGTACCGCTTTGCGCTCGTTCGCAACCCGTGGGCGAGGCAGGTGTCGATGTTCCACTTCCTGCTCGAGACGGCGTCGTGCGCGAAGCCGTGCGGGCAGCGCGCGGCGCACTGCGACAAGCGGCTCCTGCCGCAGGCGGGCCCCTGGCTCGCGAGCGTCGACCTCGCCACGCCGCGCTTCCGCGCGTGGATCCGCGACATGGCTGCCGCCTTCCCACCCGGCCACCCGCAGCAGCACCTCTTCGGCGCGCGCTTCCACGGGAACGAGCGCGACGCGTGGTACAACGCGTCCCAGATCTCGTGGATGGTCGACGGCCGCGGCGCCGTCCTCGTCGACGACATCTTCAAGCTCGAGGAGCTGCAGCAGCACTGGCCGACGCTGCAGCGGCGCGTCTGCTCGCTGCGCGGCGTGCCGTATGCCGACGGCGGGCTGAGGAAGAACCCGTCGACGCACGCGCACTACTCGCGCTACTACGACGACCAGACGCGCCGGATCGTCGCGCAGTACATGCAGGCCGACATCGACCGCTTTGGGTACACCTTTGAGCAGCAGCAGGGCGGCGGCTGAGGCGCGGAGAGGGCGGGGGCAGGGAGCGTGTTTCCAGGCGATTCTTCCGCGCCCGGGCTTATGTGGTTGTTCGTGGACCCGCTATCGTCGAATTCCAATTCGTGAGAGAGACGAGTCTCGCTACTGCTCCGCGAGACGGGGGTTGGGGGCAGGGGGGGAGGAGAGCGCACTGAACAAGACGCGACTCAAGTGCTGTGTCGGATGTGATAAAGCTGCTCCCATCTTTTGGGTAATCACAGCCGCCGCCCCCGCCGCCGCCCCCGCCGCCGCGCCGCCGCGCCGCCCGGCGGCCGCCCGCCCCCGCTGAGTGTGCGAGACCGTGGAGTCCGAGAGGGCGAGTGCGGGTGGGGAGGCCCTAAAACGGTGGGAGGGGTAGGGGTGCCGCTGTAGGGGTGTGGAGGGGTCGGGAGGGCGGGAGTGTGGACCGTGACCTAAAGCCCTCCACCGATAGAGGTGTCAGGCGGCAGGGCCCAGGAGGGGTGGGGGCTTGGAGGGCTGGCCAAAAGCGAGGCGTGGGAGGGGTCCAGTGGGCTAGAGAGGGCTGGAGGGGTCGGAGGGGGCTAGAGGGGCCGGAGGGGCTGTGCGGATGGAGGGGTCTGGAGGGCTCGGGGGGCTTGGAGGGCTCGGAGGGTGTCGTCCGGCAAGAGGGTCCCTAGCGCGAGGGGTGGGGCTCGGGAGGGGTGGAGAGCTCGGAGGGCTCGTGTCGCGTGCGACGCTCTCGAGTTTGCGCACAACCGCATCCGCAAGTCCTTTGAGAGCATTGCTCGCGCCGACGCCTCGCCCCAGGCGCTCCGCGACCTCGCGTGGCTCCAGGCGCAGCTGCCGACCGAGATGGGCGGGTGCAACATCGACACCGCCTTCACGCGAGCCGACAGCGACTTCTCCATGTCGCTCCTCAAGAACTGGCGCACCCTCGTCGCCCACAACCCCGACTTCGCCCTCGACGAGGCAGGTGCGTCCAAGTACCCAACCATCGCCGCAGCTATCGCCACCTACGAGTCCGCCCTCTCGGACTGGAAGGAGGTGTGCGAGAAGCGCGCCGCCCGCGACAAAACCAAGTACCACACCGTCCGCGGCGGCTACCTGACTGAGTTCTACCCCAAGAGCGTCCCGCTCCCCGAGCCCGAGTCCCTTCCAGCTACCGACGCGATTCTCAATGGCACTTGCAAATCCACGTACCCGCGGCCGCGGGCGCTCGCTGCCATCAAGAATCACAAGGACTGGTTCGCGCACCAGGAGCTCGTCAAGGCGCGGGACGTGCACGTCAAGAACAACCCGTCCCTCGGAGACAGCGCCGTCAACAACCGCGAAGCCTCGCGCTTCGTCTCCGCCTCAACGCCTTTCGCCGGCAAGGCCTTCGATGTCCGTGTCGACGGTACGTACGCCACCGCCCTCTCCTCCGACACCCTCCAGGACGAGCTCCAGCGGAAGCTCGGCCTTTGGCTCTCCGTGGCGCTTCCCACCCTTCGGGTCGCGCTCGAGCGGGGCATGCCAGTCGATTTCTTCGGCGACTACCTTTACAACAAGGCCCACCACCGGCGGCCCCACGACGGCGTCCTCGCCGCCTGGGCGGACGCGATGCGCGCCCCGGCCAACGCGCCGGTCGTGCACGGTGACAAGGAGAAACCAGAGCTCACCCGGCAGTACAACGAGGGGTACAAGGTCGACCTCGCGGAACCCCACGCTGGCCCGGGAGGATGCGATGAGGTGAATGAAGTCAAGCTCTGGACGCCCCTCCTCAAGACCTCCTCGGCGGGCGTTGGCAACGCCTCGAGCGGCGGCACGCCCGCCTCCGTTGGCCACTCCTACGCCTTCGGCAACACCGAAGAGAAGGCCCGCCGCCTAAACATGGGCTGCAAGGCGCGCGGGCAGCCCGGCCAACCCTTCGACCACAAGACCGGCCACGGCTACGTCAAGGCGCATCGCGGTTTCTACCACGACGCGATCTTTGTCAAGCGCAACAACTTCAACCTGCTGCTCCACGAGACGTTCGGCGGCGGCTTCTCGCCCACCGCCGTTCTCAAGCTGCGCCGCCTCGCGCGCAAAGTCGCGCGCGGCAGCGTCGACCGCACGGCCTACTCGTCCAAGTACTCGCTTTCTTTTATGTCCCACCATGCAGAGCGCATCTCTCTCTCTGTTGTGCGAGGCGTGAACCGCGCCATTCGCTCTCACCTGGCAACCCTGTCTGCACGTCTCGCGCGCGCGTGAACAGGCCTCCAGGCCCCAAATGACGTGTGAGTGTTAGAGTTGTTTGGTATTGCTAAAAATCTCTCTCTCGCAATCTATCTCGCCGTCCGGCGAGGCACGGACGAGACCGTGTGTGGGGTCTAGTGAGCTGTCTATGGACGCCCTCCTCACAGGCTAGCTGCCTACTGCTAGCCCAATCTCGCAACTATTTACGAGGGAATTTCAAAAGAATTTAAACGAAACAACTCTCTCTTCAAAAGAAACAAGCGAAGTTTCGCGTAATCGGCCGACATCAGCGCTGCATGCTCGCCTACCTCTTCGCCACTGTGTGCCTCTGGCTGCCCAGGCATTCGCGTCCGCTCACTCGGCGGCGGTCGCTCGCGCCACTCGTTGCACTCGAGCGCGAAGCGGAGACGCCTACCGCCTCCATCGCCGCTGAGATTGACGCCGCGTGCGAGGCCAGCATGCGGGACGACGGCGGCGACAGCCAGTCTCCGGCGGCTTTCTTCCGCCAGCTGGTCGCCACAGAAGAGGAGCTGCGCGACATCGAGTCGGAGCGTGCCGCCGCCGACGACGACACCGCCGCGAGGCAGGCGGCGCTTGCTCAGACATATAGCTCTCTCGAGCTCGACGCCTTCGGCTCGGTCACCGAGTCGCCCATCCCAGGGCGCACCGTGACCGTCGCCGACCAACTGCGGCTCACCGGCCTCCCAACCAAGGCCTTTGCTCCTCGCGGCACCGGGTTTGGCACGCTCTTCGCGGGAGCCGCCACGGCACTTGGGCTTGTGCTCTGGACAAGCCCCGGCGTCGAGGAGCTGCGGCTGGTCGGCCTCGGCGCGGGCGCGCTGCTGCTGCTCGACTCGGCGTCGGGCGGCGTCGGCGTCGAGCTTGCCACGCGCGCGCTCTCGCCAGGGTACCGGCGCAAGATCGTCGAGCACGAGGCGGGCCACTTCCTGACCGCCTACCTGCTCGGCTGCCCGGTCGAGGCCTGCCTGCTCGACCCGTTGCGCGCCGCCACCGACCCGCGCTTCCAGGGCGCCGCCGGCACCGTCTTCTTCGACCCGCTCCTCGCGGACGCGATGCGGGCGGGCAGCGTGCCTCGCTCCTCCGTCGACCGCTACTCGGTGGTGGTGATGGCGGGCATTGCTGCCGAGGCGGAGCTGCACGGGCAGGCCGAGGGAGGGAGGGCGGACGAGCAGGCCCTCGTGCGGCTCCTCACCTCTCTCGACGGAGGCCGCAGCTGGGACTACGCCAAGATCACGAACCAGGCGCGCTGGGCGGCCTCCTCGGCGGCGCTGTGTATCCGCGCCCACCGCCCGGCCTTCGACGCGCTGGTCGAGGCGCTCGCCGCCGGCCGCTCCGTGGGGACGTGCGTGATGGCCATTGAGGAGGCGCTGCGCGGTGGCGGCGGCGAGGCACAACTTGGGGGCAGCGGGGCGGGCTGGAACCGGGCCAACGTCTCCAAAGAGTGGACATGACTTCACGACACATGAGAAAGAGAGACGGCAGACGCGCCGGCGGCGCGCAGCGTGCAGCGTCCAGCGACGATTTTATAAGGGTCCCCGTGTTCACATGTACATGTACCCCAATATCAAAACAAATCAACCTCCACACTTGCCCATGCAGTTTAGCCATGCCCACACCCACAACCCGTGCATGAAGGCGCCTGCCCAAACGGTCCGCGTGGCGATTGCGGCGTCGGTGCACGCAACGCCGAGCACCGCCGCCATCGCGAGGAAGCGCGGGTCGACGAAGATGTAGCGCGGCGCAAAGTGCAATGCGTCGAGGTGGTAGGCCAGGAAGCCAGCCAGCGCGAGGAGGTGCTGCGAACTCCAGCCTGCTGGCGCCTCGTCGGCCGCTGGCAAAACCATGAAGCGCCAGAAGCACTCCTCGACAAGCCCTGGAAATATCAGTGGCACCGGGAGAGAGAGCAGCGCCTGAAGCGATGTGAGCTCCCCCACCGAAGGAGGACGGCAGAGGAAGCCCGAGCGGAGACCGATGATTAGGAGCGCGGCAGAGCCGGTGCAGAAGACGGCGAGTAGCCGCGCTGACGCGTTCTTGGTCGCAACAGGCGGCGGAGCGTCTGATCCAACCACCTGAGCCCCAATCTCGTCCGCCCACGTCCTGCCTGTCAGCCCGAGGCGCAGCCTGCGGCAGTAGGTGGCGGGCACGTCGAGAGGAGACAGCCCCTGCTTCCAGCACAGGGTGACGACCACCAGCAGCTCGATGCAGGTCCACACAGCGGCCGACTGGCCGGACGATGGCGCCTCGCAGGTAGGATGATCGAAGCAGCCGCAGCATGATTGAGAGGGAGCGGTGTCCATGCGGCTGTGTCAGTGTCACTCACGTCCAGGTGCACACTTACTCGTCGAAAGGCCCGCCACCTTGTGTTCGCCCCCGGCGGACCGAGGCCTTGGTTGTGCATGGATTCTTTCTTTTCGGGCCACCTCGTCCTTGATCTCTTGATCCTCAGCGCTCGGGTGGCCGTGGTGGGAGCTGAGCTGCGGGTAGAGACGGAGGCGCTGCACGCAAGCAAGTTACTAGTAGCAAGCGGTGGGGAGCAGCAGCAGGGTAGGATTATTAAAATCGGGCGGTTTCGAGCTAGTACACTCGACAACACCACCTTGAGAACACCCTGCTCCCTGGAACAAAGCGTGTTCAACAACACCACAGACACTCAACATCGTTTCGGCACATTATTCTTTGTAGATGGTACATGCATAAGGATGCCATGAGGACTGTCTCTCCTCACCGCCGCTGCCACGGCAAAGGCGGCGGCGGCGTCGTGAGGGCTCGTAGCTCAGTGGCACGCGGCTCTCACAGCCGGACCAATCATCTTGCGAGGCTCGGAGCAGAGGACAGACACGATGCCCATGGCTCATGCGGGAGGCGGAATCCATATGGCCCATATGCTTCGCTGGCGTCATGCACCCATGGTCGCAGCGCCGGTATGGATCAACATGGCTAGCTCAGCTGCAGCAGCGCGTCGAGGCAGCACTCCTCGCTCCGGAGCAGCGCCGCTCCCTGCCTGCCCTCGGAAGGCAGCCGCGGCGGAGAGAGCGGTTGGGAGGGGCACGCATTCTCGATAGCCGACGTATCGAGGATCGTAACGCACCGCTCCAGCGGGAGGGCAGGCGGCGGCAGCGAAGAGGGAAGTCCGCACAAGCTGGCGGCCGCCAACGCCGCCTCGGGGTCGCACCGCTGCCGCAGAGACGGCGGTGTGACGGCAACCTGGCTGCCCTTGTGCTGCGCGAGACGCGCCATGCGCTCGACCTCGCGCTGCAGCGCTATCGCCCTCGTCTCCGCCGCAGCTGCCGCATGCTGGGTGGATGCAGTCCGGTCGAGCTGTGGCTCACAGTCCCTCCTCGCTTCGAGTTCGACCTGCCGCTGCAGAGCCGCGGCGCGAGTCGCGACGATGTCGCTCCAGCCTCGGTCCATCGACACGCGAACTCAATCTGAGCACAGCTGAGCTCGCTCAAAGCAGGCCACAGGCCCAGCTCCACGGGCCGAGGTGTCTGAGGACAACTCTTCGCCGAATTGATTCACGTTCCCGGCAGAATCAGACAGAATGAAGAGAAAGCAAAGCCGCCGGCGTCCAACAAGACGTACGCCGCCGCAGCCGCATCGCAGCCGCAGGGTGCCACCGCGGGTGGCCAGCCCGCCGCGCCTGCGGGCCCGACCGCCGCCGCGCGCGTGCCGCCGCCGCCCACCCAGCGGCGGCGGAGTGCGCGGCTGCTTGCTCCTTCACTGTCCCTAACCCGGGCAGGAAGCGCGGGCAGCAGCAGCGCGGCAAGGGCCGCGGTGCCAGGGGCCGTGCCGATGCTGGACCCCCCGTCTCGTTGACAAGAACGCGCTGTCCGCGCGCGGCAGCGGGCCCTCGCGCCAGTCGCGCTCGCCGTCGCCCGACTCTCCGCCCGCCAAGCGGGCCGCCTCCGCTGACCTCGTCCGGCTATGAAACCCTGAGCCCTGGCCTCGACACCTCGACACCAAACCTCGACACCAACTCGACACCTCGACACCCCGTGCCAACTCGACACCCCTCGACACCCCTCGACACCCCTCGACACCCCTCGACACCATCTAGGCTGGTACCATGCTCGCCGGTGTCAAGGTGCCAAACTCGACACCTCGACACCCCTCGACACCGCTCGACACCGCTCGACACACCGCTCGACACCGCTCGACACCGCTCGACACCTCTGATGATCCTAACACAGCAGAGACGTACCAGGTAGACCCATTGGAGTCACAGAGTTAGAAAATCAGGGTTGCAGCAGCAATCAAACTTCGCTGGCAGTACTTTTATCCCTCAGTTGCAGCCTCTCAAGTTCTAGCTCAGTTGCAGCTCAGTTGCGCCCCTGTTGATGTAGCAAACATGGCAGTACTCAGGTAGCCCTCAGGTGCTGCACAGCACCTTGTACAGTGGCAATGAATCCTCACACCAGTGAGCTTGTGCCATGAGTGCAGACCTGTGGTCCATTGGCATTGCGCTTTGTGCACTGGCGACGCTGCAACGGCGACGCTGCAGCGGCGGCGACGCTGCTGCGATGGGGTACTATAGCCCTTAGCTGCTGGACAGCACCTTGTGCAGTGGCAATGTCCACTGACTCATGGCACCAGCCTTGTGCCATGAGCGCTGTGGTCAGTTGCGCTTTGTGCGCCGGTGACGCTGCAGGGGCGACGACGCTGCAGCGGCGAGCCGACGCTGCTGCGGTGCTGCGCCTGCACAGCACCTTTGTGCACATCGATGTGCACAGTGGCAATGATGGCACTTGATGTCCTCAAATGTCCACAGAGAGTATACTGGTTGTGCTCAGGTTGTGCTACATCAACAGGGTGCAACTGAGAGGCTGCAACTAAGGGATGAAACAGCTTTGCAACTGCTGCCCAAGTTTTGTTGGTGGGCTGCAACTGCATCCTGCCACCTTGGACACCTCGACACCTCTCAGACGCCTCTTGACAACACTCGACACCCGCTCGACACCCTCGACACCCTCGACACCCTCGACACCCCTCGACACCCCTCGACACCCCTCGACACTGGCAAGCATGGTACCAGCCTCGACAACAGGCCTCGACAGGCCTCGACAGGCCTCGACAGGCCTCGACAGGCCTCGACAGGCCTCGACAGGCCTCGACAGGCCTCGACAGGCCTCGACAGGCCTCGACAGGCCTCGACAGGCCTCGACAGGCCTCGACAGGCCTCGACAGGCCTCGACAGGCCTCGACAGGCCTCGCTCTACCCCTCTACCCCTCGACAGCAGCTCGACACCCTCGACACCAGGCCTCGACAGGCCTCGACACCAGGGCTCTTGGAGCACTTGGAGTGCAGTCATTAACCGCACATCCAGGGCCAGGGAGCTAAAGAAGCGCACCCAGCGGGCCGGATGATTGGCATCGGGTTGCGGGCAAGAGAGCCCTAGCCCTGGGGGTGCGCGTTCGCAGGGAAAGGGCCGTAAAATAAACACGGGTCTCCGAGGGTTAGCTCCGCGCTCCAGGTTTCCCCTAGCAGCAGAACGCCCCCTCTACTCGGAGCTAGTAAACACTCGACACGGACTCGACGCCCACCCGCACCCGGCGCCTCACCACTCCGGACCCCTCTTCGTGGTCTCCCAACTTTCACTCCGGGGCGTCTCTTCCCCCACCTCTCGGTCCTTCCTTCTGGTCGCATCCCGATAGTTGTGCGACGGGCGCGGGGCCCGACCTCCCCTCCTAGCCTTTTTTGGCCGTGGCCCCGCCGCCGTCTCGTCCTCTCTGCCTGATTCCGTTGACCCTGCCGACGGCGATCCCGTGCCCGACTCCCCGGGTGAGGACGGCGGCATTGGATCGTGTCGCCTCCCCTCCCCGGGGGGTCGGGCCGGCTCTCCTTGGTCGACGAATCGCGCCCGCACCCGCGGCCTTTCCATCGTTCTCGGCTCGCCCCTCCCCTCCGCCGGCTCCTCCTCAAGCTCGGGGAGGCGTGGCCCTCCTTGTCGTAGATCACGGTGGTCCGACTGCTGCCGCGACGGGTCTACCCCCGGTGGGCTCGTGCGTCCCGACTCCACTCGCAGAGGTCGCGTCAGCTCATCTCTCGCCTCCTCCGACAACTGACCCCAAGTCCCCCCTGGGGCCCTCCGGCGTCGGCCTTCCGACTCGCCGGCGGGCCCGTTATCGTATTGCGGCGACTCCCCTCCCCCAGCTCCTCCTCCCGGGTACTCCAGCCTCCGGCGGGGCGGTTCCGGATCCCCCAGGTTATTCCGGGCGGGTCCATACGGTGGCGGCCCCGCCGGCGGCGGGGGTGGAGGCGGCGGCAGGGGTGGCGGGTACGGTGGCGGCCCTGACGGCCGTAACGCCTGGTGTGGAGCCACTGGGGCGGCCCCTCGACCCTGCAGCCGTTCCAGCGGCGGGGGCGGAGGTGGTAGCGTGGGTGGCGGAAACGGTGGCGGCACTGGCGGCCGCGCCGCCTGTTGTGGAGCCCCAGCAGCGGCCCCTCGACCCCGCGGCCGCTCCAGCAGCGGGGGCGGAGGCGGTGGTGGTGGGGGCGGGCATGGTGGCGGCGCCGGCAGCCGCAACGCCTGGAGCGGGGCCTCGGGGGCGGCCCCCTGCCCCTGCGGTCGTTCCAGCCGCGGTTCCACGCGTCGGCCGACTACCCCACTCGGGGGGGGGGGCCTAGCTCTCGTCTCCCCTCGAGAAGGGGGGGGGCCGGCGCGGGGCCCGGATTCGCCGACGGCCCCGCTTCTCCCTCCCCCCGCTCCGCTTCAGGCCGTAGACTGCGCAGTAGTCGCGTCGCCTCCCCCCTCGCTCGGTCCCTCTCAATTCGGTCCCACACTGACCGGATATCAAAGGCCGAGTTGCGTTCGGACAGCGGGCCCGCCGATGCCACACGCCTCTTCACGCAGCAGGCGTACGCCTTAGGGCTCAGATGAAACCGATACGCCGGACGAGGTGCAGCAGGTATGCCGCGCGCTCGGCATGAGGACGCAGTTCGACGCGGCGGTGGCGGCGGGCGAGCCGAGCTTCTCGAGCTGCTCGAGAGCTTGCCGCGAGGGGCGGTCGAGGCCTCTGTCCGACAGATGCGGGGTTACACCCGCACGGGCGAGTGGCCGGAGCCCATTCTCGCTAGCCCTGCCCCGCAGCGCGGCCGCTCGCCAAGCCCCCCCTATGAGTGGTCAGATGGATAGTGCCCGAGAGCGAGGGGTCCGGGGGGGAGCACAAATAGGACGCCCAGCCCTGCCCTCGTGCCGCCGAGTGTGTATCCTATGCGAGAGAGATCCCCTGTGCCCTGTGCCCAGCCCTCTCCGCGCCGCGATGCGCCCTCCCCCCTCGCCTTTGCAAAATCCTGCAA